CAAACACGCCCAGATCTAAGAAGAGGCAGATCGAACGGGTGGGGCGCGCTGCATCGGGCGGCTGGCGCTGGACCGGCCGAAACGTTTCGGCCGGCGCACCGGCGCCTATCAGCCGCCTTTACCAAATGCATAAAGCTTTTAGCATGAATCAAACGGATAGCACAACACTAGCCATTACTGGCTCAAATTGAATCCAACAGATATGATCACTACACAATAAAAAACGCCATATAATTGCGACGACAATGACAAACTGACAGCAGGGGACATAGTGCTCTCACCTGATTCCTGAAACAAGTGGACAGAAGATTAGAAAGCATACTGGCAAAGGAAACATCCCTTCATCGCCCACCACTCACAGTGACTCCTTGTTGGATTAGAAGTTCACTGTGCACCTCTGTAGTTCCTGCAGATCAGCGGCGCACACTATATGGTCAAGAGTAAAGTTCTTAATGCACTTTGGCAGATAAACAAACAGGTGTGTCATGGCCTCATAGGTCTCACCAAAGCCCAATGATCGACTCACCAAGTGCACAAAGACTGTGAAGAGGTCGCTCGGGTGACATGACGCCTGGGCGTCCAGTTTTCCGGATCATCTCGTCGAAAAAGTTCTCTCGCTCGGGTCCAGTGAGCCACCATCGGAAGCCGGGAGCATTACCTCCAACACCTTGCGGCCATGGCGCCCACACGAGAGCCCGTAATGCTCTCACCGTACGCACGCCGACTGCCGACGAGCGGAAAGGGCGAGGCGGCAGACACTCTCCACTTACAACAGCGGCGCCCCGTCGTCCTCCCTCCTCCGGTGCTCCCGGCGTCTCCTCCGGCCGCCGATGTACACTCCAGAAATCTCGTACGGGCCCGGGCTGACGTGTCCGTTCTTTTCCCTGTACCGGGCCTTCAGTTTGGGCCGTTTCGACGTAAATGGAGAAGGAAGTGTATGTTGGCTATACAGAGTATTAGTACCACACTGCTTACGGAAGGGGATCCAGACTGATTTATAAGCTGGTTTCAGGGCGAGGTGTTCACCACTTGACATAAGTGGTGAGCTATCTCAAAAACAATGAACAATAGATAATTGTGAATTTCACCATGTCATGGCTCCCTCAAGGGTGATACCCACCCTTGGTCTGAGCATGAACACATGACATGTGTACATACACACCGACATGGTGTGCATAGCCTTTTTTTGTATTTCATCCATTTAACCTTTTAGTATTATTTTAAAAATACCGCTCACTTTATTTTCACACCGAACGCTTGCAAGGGTACCTCCAAAAACAACCGCCGACGAGCCAAGAAAGTTGCCATTTGAATCTCGACATACTGCAGCAGCCACCCCCACACGTCTGTTCCTTGCTAGTGCGCCATCCACATTGATCTTCATGAGGCCAGCTGGCAGTGAAATCCATCGACGCTGTTGTTCCGGTCCCGCAGGTATCTGCGATCTTGGTTCACTAATGGAGATCTGGTGTAGCTCCTGTAAGTAAGAGTCTACGAAGGATATAGTCTGGTGTGGGTTTTGGAATAAAGATTCATAGATTGCCTTTCGCCTTGCATACCACACATCCCATAGTGTGACTACCATCCTCGTGAAACTCGCATGATCTAGCGCCTCATGAAGTTCAAACAGCCAATTCTTCGCACATGGTTCCACATTTTCCGACATCTTTGACACAAGTGATTCATCCGACAAGCATGACAAGAGGGCATGTCTCCACGATCTTGGCATCCACGCAACGGGCAGGCACTCTGTGTTGCCATATTCCGCCTGTGTAGAACGTCCGTAGTGGGAATCGAATGTCGTGCGAGACGCCAAAGAAAAACTATGTATCTTTGATGGAACCTTCATTTGCCACAAGCGAGTCGAAGCTTCCTCTTCTCTGGTATTGGAAGATGAACCACCCCTTCCTTCTAGCCAGGCTTCCCGTTGAAGTTTTGTTATGACCAAGAACCTATAAGCCAAGCTTACTGTAAATCTGCCTTTCCTGTCCGGGTTCCAAGCCCAGAAATCTTTCGTGTTTCGGGTACACACCGGTATCTTTAGAATTGCTTCAGCATCAAACGATAGGAACACTGACCGTATCAAAGGTTCATCCCATGAAGCAGTAGCTAAAGAAAGTAGTTCGGACACTCTCCTGAGAGGTACTGCAACTAACGAAGCAATAGGCTTTGGTGATGTTTCCTTGGGGACCCAATTGTCTTCCCAAATGTGAGTTGTTTGACCATTTCTGTCGTGGAATTGTCATGGCAGATGTCCTTAG